TATTCCATATTTTATTTTAAGCTGTTTTTTAAAGCACCACAATCTCAAACCAACCCTTAGTGCTTCAGAATTACTGCACTAAATAACAATTGTAATAATACAATTTGTAAAAATTTGAAAATAAAATTTGAATCAATTGTATTATGAAACTTGGTGTATTAGGTCCTTTTCTCGACAAACTAAAATATTTCTCAGTAAAATCATCACATCTTTACATTTTCATTCCTTTATTTTTTATTATGTCGTGTATTTTCTATGGAAGCGTATTCAATTTTAGAGATTTTGATAAATTTATGACTTTATGTAGTTTGATGAAGTTTTTATTCGTCTCTGGAGATTTTACGTTAACTGTGATTAAAATCCTCAATACTTGAGCTGTGAGATTGTGAGATTGTGAAAGCTTAAAATTTAATAATAAAATATTTCTAATTCCTTTGGAATCCATTTTTTCAGTAATCATATATTTAGACTAATGGATGAGAAATTAAAATAGTTGCGAACTCATCATTATCGATATTCAAATTTAAAATCTCTTACTTATAAATGAAGAGGAAATCAATAGACCATCGTACTAAGTCGTTTTAAAATCATTGAAATCAATTCATGGAAAAATATATCTAGAATTATAGAGAATTTTTTTGAATGGCTTTTTGTGAAAAAAGTTGAGGAGAAGGGAATTCTACCCCATCTTTAGGGGTGTGCATGTCACAAATCTATTTGAGTACATACAATAACAAAAAAAACTCGTTATTTATGATTTGGGCTAACTTGGGCTTGTTTAATTAGACCATTGTCAAACAACGTAGGCCCAATTAAATTGGGGTTACCCAGTGGAGTTTTAAACTTGGGTCTATAGCAACTGACCCGGTTGCAGAGAAGCATAGAAAATCCGAAACGAAGGAGGAGGTGGTATCTCATACGGATACGGGAGAGGTAATAGAAACCCTACCGGCGCCGGAGCTCCTTCGCAGCTCCAATTGTATTCATCGTCGTCGTTGCTTTCCAATTCCTCTCTAAGTGGCTGGAACAGTTAAAGAAGGTAATTTCCTCGACTATTTTTAACTTGCATTCAAACAATTTAATCCTAATTTTTGAGCGAAGTTGAGCTCTTAATCTTTACTTTTTTTTATGCTTTAATTGCATTTATTCTGAAATTAAAATTTGAATTTGGGGGAATTTTTTCGTTGGCAGGGAGGAGTTAAGAGTGCTACGGCAACCCGATTGCGTGGAGAAATTAAAGACCTCTTGAAGGAGGCAAGCTCCTTGTCACAGTGAGTGATTTTAGGAAAGACGAAATTCTGTTTCATGAATTTTATGTAACACTATGATATTACATCCGACCAAAAACTATATCTCAATACTATCTCCACAACTCAAGAAAATTTTCCACCATCTCGCATGAAGTGATAAACAAGAAGCAATCTGCGTTGAAAAAAAAAAAAGCCATTTATGTTGTCGTTGATGTTGTAGGGCATTGCAGGAGCAATTGCTCCTGTGTAAGAACTTGTATGGTTTCCCCCTTTATTCGAACACTGTTCCATGAATTCGATTGACTGTCATCTATGATTGATTTGGAATCTAGGCTCCCTAGAGTTCCGTGCTTCGGCTATCACTTCACTAGATTCCAAATCAATCATGGATGACAGTCAGTCATATTCGTGGAACGTGTCCGACTAGAGGGGGAAACCATATAAGTTCTTACACAGGAGCAGTCTCCTGCAATGCCCTACAACATCAATGACAACATAAATGTTTGGGTGGCCGAGCACGGGCAGCTATTGAAGGCTATAATTTCAGAACATCAGAGACACTTGGCTTTCAACCTACCATCATGTATCTTTCAATGCACATAACCAGAACACAAGCGTGAGATGGTTCTCATCTCTTTTCGTTTAATCTAAGAGCAGTCACGAAAAGGACGGGACGGAAGAGAGTGAGGATTGTTATCTTTCAGATTTGATGACTGGAACTCGGATTTGTTGAAAAACCGTCGTAAGAGCTCTGGCAGAGATATGGCAACCGATTCAGTTGTTAAAGCTTGGGGTGTGGTTCTCGAGGTTGGCTGAGAAGTGAAGGAAGAGAGAGTGAGAGGCTCTTCGGCGCCTAGGGTTTGAGGGAGCGGAAATCACAAGTGGGGGCTGAAAATTGGCTTTTATAGTGAGCTGGGGCTGCTAGGGTTTCCCCCACTGTGACACACGTGTGTCTCGTGTGTGCACGCCTTCGAGTAGTTCACCTCGCTTACTAATGTAAGCAGAGGTGTTGAAATAGAAAGTGAATAACCGAACCGAAATTTCGGTATTCTCAAACACGTTTCTGGATTCGGTCGTACAGTTCCGAATTTCAATTCAATAGGAATTTGCCTCATAAACAAATCAATCCCAAATCCAATATCAAAAATCCAAATCAACCAAATCCACATAAAATTAATTCAGAAATCCAAATCCAAATGCAGAAACAATCAAAAGCCCTAAATCGTAAATCCCTAATTCAACATGCATCCTAAATAAAAAAATTAATCCCATAAAGAGGATTACCGGGGCTTCTCGCTTTTAATTTCTTGCATGACGTTCTGGATCTCAATCATCGGGGGTCTCTTCCGTTTCAGAGAATAAGAAGCGGCGGTAAATGATGAAGAATCGAAATGCGAGACGGAGTTCTTAGCTCGCCGTTGTTGTGGAAATCATCGAGAGAGACGCCGACTCCTAGAAAGAGATAGTCTGAGAGAGGGAAATGGAGAATCGCCGGATCGTGGTGGCTCGTGGTTGTGTGTGGTAGTGGCTGGCCGTATTTGTGTGGTGGAGGGAGGCTTTGTACTTCGGTTCGAGAGAGTTGCATGCTTGCAGCAGTTGCTTAGAGAGAGACACAGAGAGAGGGTGGCTGTTTATTGGGAGTGTGATCTCACAATGGGCTAGCAACAATACGATTTAAATTCGCCTTCAGAAATTGGATCTAAAACCTCTTACGAGTGAAGAGAAATACTACTAGATTGTGGTTTATATAACGTGATTAATTCTGGCTTCTGTTTTTTCATTAATTACAAAAATTTTGTTTTTTCTGTTTTTATTATGGGTGAAATGGGTAAACCAGTTAAGTTAAACGATGGGAAATTCGTTATCAGGTAAACGGTTAATTTGTGGTTATGTGTACCAATATTTTTCACAGTTACATAAATAAATAAGAGTGCAAAAGTTTTCGATCCGAACCGTCGTCATCCTTACGCATGAAACACTTTATCGAGAATGCAATACTCTTTTACAATCTTCCTCAGTATCCTTAACTCTTTTACAGAACAGGATCCTCTCCTGAGCAAATGCTCGGGATCCTCATGACCAATCAAGACGGGCCGTTGCAGGAGACCCCTCTAAAAGTTATAATAATTGTAGCTGTTAGATCAAAATCTAACAGCCCGTACTGATTGCTCATGAGGATCCCAAGCATTTGCTCAGGAGATGATCCTATCCCCTCTTTTACAACCTATAGTGGCAACAAATTCATACTATTCATTTGCATGCAGGCTGTTGCACGTATATACTCAACAGCTTCTCCAGCCATGAAATTGCCCAATTGATATGATATTTCCTTCGACAAAAAAAAGAAGATATTTCCTTGAAATGTGGGGGCAAGGCTGCATGTTGTTCGACTGCGCACTGCCGCAAGGAAATTGAGAGTTTGGGCAACATAAAAGATGTGATTAAGTACATAAGGCAAGGGTTCAATACTCAAATCCCACCTAAATAAGTACAAATTAACATGAACTAGTCACGTTCGTCATAGAGACATCACACGCATTAAGTTTGGAACCCTAATATTCTTCATGTAAATTGGTATTCTTCATGTAGATTTAATCACATAAATGTATAACAGACGGCATAAAATGAAAAAACAGAAAAGAAATGACGTTAAATACTTATCAGATATTCCACAACAAAGTAATGAGATCGGACAAGTTTAGACTTATTCAGGCAAACTCTCTCGTCAGTCGGGCAAATTTTTGCTTGTGACCAAAGTGTTGAAATGAAGTTAGGGATTTGAAAGGGATTTAAAAGAAAATACTCGTACTACAAATTTTCATGGATTGGAAAGGATTGTAGAATACTCATATATGTGTGACAGTTGCAAACTGAGTTGAATCAAGATCCAATCAGTTTGTGATTATCATTTGGCTTGCATACGAAGATATTTAAAGTCTTTTGCATAATAAGGCATAAATAAGAACTTAACCTGGATTTAACCCATCCATGCCACAGTCTCTTGATAAGAAGCTCAAATTGCTTGTGGTGCAAGTTTATATCTAACAATAACATCATTCAATCTTTCTGTTGGTTTCAACTAACAGTGACACACCTGACATAACAAATAACTCTAAACACTCGCAAGATGTTTAAAGACAATTTTAGACTGACAAAGAATTCTAAACACTCAGCAAGGGGAATTGTGGCACCAACACAGGCCGGAGCATTAGAGTGCAGATGTGAAATGAAAATTTTAGTGACTAATGTAGTATCCAGTCGAAGAGTTTTCAAAATGTTAAATCCAGAAGGAGATTCAAGGAGAACATAGCCCTACAAAGAACTTGAACTCGTTTGGAAGTACTTTTAAATGGCTAAAAACGTTTTTGGTCAAAATGCTTTTGGAATCAATATTTAGTAAAAATACAAGTAAATCCTAGTTTCTGCACATAATTGATGCTTCTTGCAAAAAGCACTTCAAGTGTTTTTGGAGAACCCAAAAAATCTAAAAACGCTTTTAGTCATTTTAAAAACACTCTCAAATAATACCCTTGTCTCTGCATATAAATTCTTGCAGTGGCGGGATCTCTTCAACTCCCTTTGCAAGTGCAAGAGTAATCCAATCATCAAAACTGAAGGGAACTGTTATTAGCACTTCAAAAATCTTATTCTACACTTCTCATAAGTGTATTTTTCTATCTATAAGGACGATCATAGCCCAGTCAAAATTAAATAAATTAGGAATAAGTTAGATGGAAATATCCCCAATTATACAAGTTTTTATTTTCTCTAATTAAGACTTGATTGCTTATCAAAATTTGTTAGTTAATGTTATAAATCACCAATTAAGATTAAAAAAAGAAAAACACTATTGGGGGAGAATATATATTGACACAGTAATTTACTCTAAATCAATAGCTTTCTTGGGCAATAGTCTATTCTAATTCAAGGTTTAGGTCCGTCCCTCATCACTTGGAGAGGAAATTAACTCAACACCATATTCACGAGTACTACTGTCTTGGGTTGCTTGACCATTGGGATTCAGATCACCACCGTGCACGGAAGAATTAGGAGTTCCCACCGGCTCTTGATGAACAATGTGCGGTCCAGCAGGGTCGGAAAAGCTTGAGTATGAACTTGGGGGGCAGCTTCTGTTTAGTGAAGATTCAGCCGCAGCTATACCATAATCACTATCATTGCAGCGTGCTCTTCTTAGAAGTATCCAAAGTGAGTTCTTTTCCGTAATATACTCTTAATATTTCATGAATTCTTATCCAAAATGAGGCTTCCGTATCTGCGCGTGTGAAGATGTGGCTATGCTCATAGAGGAACATAGCTGTAAATATGAGGATAGCTAGTGATGAAGCAACACCGGCAACGATGAAGAGGCCCCTAAAGCTATCAAGACTAAGAGTGTTGGAACTTTCCGCGGTGTTGGAGTTTGAACAACTTTCATATTTCTTGAACCACTTATCTTCGATGGTCTTCATTTTATCTCCCTCGCGCACTTTAGTGATTGCAGTTGAAAAATCACGCGTGAGAAGCGAACCTTTTTGAAGGACCTTCATAACCCAAAGGGAAAAAAATCCAACGTCAGAAAACATGCATTAATTGAAGGAGAGAAGCCCAGACAGAGAAACAAGGGGAACTTACAAATGCAAACCCATCAGAGTCGAATGTTGGTGTAACAAGGGTATATTCTGAGCAATACGTTCCAATAAAAAGTTTCATGTAGGGAGTTTCATCAAAAGCGGCAGAAATACCTCCATTTTCATTCCCGTTGCGAAGAAGTTTCTCCAATTCTTCTCTAGAACGATAGGGCCTGAGTTTATCGTCCTGAAATCCTACTCGCTTCAGAATCCCATAAATAAAAGAATTTATTTGGTAACCAACCTTGTCCCCATTCTTTATGAGCGTGTTTACATCAGCGACGGTTGGTTGGAGCTGTTGGATTGTTAACATTGATGTTAAACTGGCTGTATAACTTTGTGTTAGTACAAGAACAACAAAGCACCATATGATCACTACAAATCTAGCCAAGTTGCTCAATACTTGCTCCCCTGTTTCAAAAATTTCAAAAGAATACAGAAATGGCATCAGTATGTCATCAAATATGTAAGTAAGATTGTTTCTACAAAGCATCAACTACCACTAAAAAACGATTACTCATGTAGGGAACTTACGATGTGCGAAAACCATGATTGAGAAGGAGAACCAAAAGCTTGTGCCAATTTGGTGACGCGGAGACCCCTGAAATTCTTTGTTTATTGGATGTTCAAGAAACCAGACCACAGAACCAATGAATATGAAAAAACAGCCACTAGTTACCCAAAGGTCCCAGGTCAAAGGCTTCAGGAACACCCAGGTGTTTTTGGCACCTGTATTTCCTTTGATAGGCACGACCATCGATACCCCTGCTTCTGTGTATGGCAATGTAAAGTCAACAAACAAAGATCTATTTCCTCTAATGGTAATATCTCCAACTGCAGCATCATACTTCTGTCAAGTAAAATTGCTAATGTTTTAACATTCGAATCGATGTTTTTTATAGAATAAAAATATGAAGTAATAAGGGGAAAACATAAAGCTTAGAGTAAGAGTTTTTACCCCAAGAAATACTTGATCGATCAAATCATTGTAACTACCAGCACTCGTACCATCAGGCCTTGCAAAGGGATGAAACTCATAAGGAACAGAGTACGGCAATACTTCTATTACCGCAGTAAAGACGTCAATGCAGTATCCAGTGATGTTGGTTGTATTAGTGCTTGGATCATGTTTCACACTTACAAGGTCGTCAAATGCTCCCTTCACCGGGACTCCAATTCTTAAGGTCCCATTCGCACTAATCTGCCAACCCCTTGGGACCGAGGTGGTGTCTCCAGGCCATATAATAGGTCCAAGAGTGGCATTAGAAGTAGAGTGTCTGCTTGTATTTTTGTCCGATTTAATGTTTCTTACAAGTCCATTTTTGGGTGTCCAATATCCAATCCCTCTTTCCCCATTATCATTCACATTAACTACCTGAAAAGTTGATGATTGTAGTTGCCTATTAATAAGGCTGAAATCTCCTGAAAGACCCCGGAATCTTGTACCTGATAGTTCTCGGACAAGTTCAGTACCACTTTGAGAGACCTCTAATCTCTCTGAACCAGTGGAATTGCCAGAATAGTTCATCTTCTGGAAGCGGAAGTTTGTTGTTCCAACCTTCTCAGCAGCCATGGCTAGTGCCCAAGCGGCATCATACGCCCACAACCCAAAAACATCCAGTTTAACACTAGGGATAGTTGGATTGTCTTGTCGGAATTTTGTTTGCCATCGAGCTCTAAAACTTTCAAGCTCTTTTGTAATGGGAACATAAGCTTTTAAACCCAACACCCCTTGCATGTCATCTATGTCGACAGAAGAACTCGAGGAAATAAAACGGTTAATCATCATCCCATTTGTCATTATCCAAACATAGCCTTCATCCATCATGCCAAAGTCTTTTGCGTTAGAGAAAAACCGAGAGCCAAGAGATGGGGACATGTGCACTATGAAGACCCTGGTTCGCATTGACATCAACTTGCGAAGCTCTGCAACAATTTCCTCATCGGTGGCGATTGAAGGAATGGAACTCCAGTAGGGCACACGAGCACCAACTGATTGCAAAGCAGTAGTCAGGTAAGGTATTACTCCCCTTCCGAACTCATTGTCAACGCTGATGGGCACTGCTTCAGTCCAACCAAAGGCTTGGATGATACTACTAATGGCTTTAACTTGAGATGAGTCATTTTGTGCAATTCGGAAAAAGTATGAACCCTGAAGAGAAGGGCATGTTGCAGAAAATGAGATTATGGGCACCTGAGCTTTGTCTCCAAGCTCAATTACAAAGCTGGCTTGCATTGATGATTCTAACCCTATGATGGCTTGCACTTTCTCATTTTTTATCAAGTCTATAGCTGTTTCAAAGGTGAAAATTTGAAATTAATTAAACTCTGATGCAACTTCAGCTAGAAATAAGCATTACTAGAAAATTACAATGGTTGATCACGATACAAATCCAACCCAACCAGATCCAAACAAACTTGGTTCTACCCAACTAAGCCTAACTGACCAGGGTCACTTGCATGAGCCACGTTGGAGCAATTTCAGAAAACAAACAAAATAAAGATATATGAATTGAAGAAGAATAAGAACAGCACGCACTTGTTAATTAACAAAACTCGAAATTGATGACATATATATAAAAAAAGAAGTATTATAACAGTTCATTTATGTTATAACAACAAACTGATATAAAACATCAACAACAAAATTATTGAGTCAAGTTGTAAAAAACTGACAAACTTGGAAATTGAGGCTTCTCTGGATGCAATGTTCTAATCAAAAACTTGAAGAAAACTGACAAGCTTTTTTTTTTTTTTTTTTTTTTTTTAATGCAACGATAGATTGTATGAACAGAAAGCCACCTAGCCCTGGCGACGGGTATGGGGTAAAGGGGTGGGGTAGTATAGGTCCTAGGTTCGATGAACAGGGTGGGTCAAGGGGTGGAGTGGTTAAAAAAAAAAGGCTTGTATGAGCACAAAAAGATTTGACGGCAGCCAAAAAACAGAAGCAAGCCGAAGGGCAGCCGCTTCAACAAAACAACACTTCTTAACAACATTCCTCTGACGCAAGTGATTTTTTACCATAATAGTAGAAAAGTATTAAAGTTTTGCGTGGCAATATGAGTTTAAATTCTATTAATAGTTAATTTAACGTCTAATCTGATAAAATCTATCATTTAACAAAACAAAACAAAACCCAAAAAAAAAAAAAAAAAAAAAAAAAACAACATTCCCCGGACACAACATGTAATAGAAGAAGAAACTGCTACCGGTTAAATTTCTTTTATTCAATGTCGAAATTAAATAATTAATATTTAAATTTCCCACAAGCCATACCGGCTCATCCTTGGTCGTGCTAAGCCGAATACACCAAGGTTGTGACAGATCACATACATTTAGCATCTCCAAACGAACCACGCAAGAAATTTTTAGTTGTGATGGGAACACGGATAGTACATCACGTGTTTTTATATAAGTGATGGAAAATTTTAATTTTTAAGTTATTAACCTTTTACACACATAACCCACCATTTATATAGGAATACGTGGTATACCATCTTGTGTGACGGTCACACTGAAAAATCTTTCGAACCACACCAAATATCATGGAAGACCCCGACCATTTGAACCAATTGGGGATCAACACCTTTAATATTCTAATAGATAGTGAAACATATTTAAGAGAAGAACAAAGAACACACAAAAAAGAGAAGAGGTAGAGAAAGAACCTGCAGTAGCTGCAACAACGACATCTTCTGCAGAGTCCCTTCTGTGTAGGACCAGCCTGGTTTTGTAGCCTGCATGAGAGGCGTAGAAGTCGGCGAGGGCCATGTCGATGCAGCTCATCCCCATTTTCCCAAACCCGGTGTCCAAGTCAAGAACCACTCCCACATGTACTGAGATTAATGTTGTGTTTTGTGCCCCGACGAAGAAGATCCTAAAGAAAAGGAAGAAAAGAAAGACGGGTTTGATCATAGGGTATTTTGTCATGTTTGAATACTCTCTCTTGGAAGATTTGGAATTCATGGCCGGGGGTGAGGGAGACTAAGAAACTTATTTATAAGATGATAGTTAGTAGGACTTTGAATATAACAACAGTCAATTTGAATATTCAAACGAAGAAGTGAGTGTGAAAACATAGACCTTATCATATCTTTGAGGGCGCAATTTCTTCCTTCCGCCATCCCGTTACGTTGAGGGGTCTTAGGGGTTGTATATAGTGCTATGATGCCGTTTCGTTCAAGATAAGTTGCAAAAGGTCCTGTGTGTTGTCCAACCTCAATGTACTTGCTAAAATACTCACCACCTTTATCGAATCTCATAATTTAAATTTGTCTTTCAAGTTGTTTTTCAACTTCTAAATGAAAAAATTTAAAACAATCCAAAGCTTCAGATTTTTCCGAGATGAGATAAACATATGCATAATGTGAAAAATCATTGATAAAATATATAAAATAAGATTTTCCACAAATGATTTTGTTTGGAAAAGGTCCACATATATCAGTGTGTACGGTTTGAACCTAATTTTCTCGTGTTGGTGAGTTTTCCTTTGAAACAATCGACACATTCTTTGAAGTCACTAAAATCAAGTTGTGGCAACATATTTTGTTTTTTTAAGGTGATGATTCTTTCTTTAGATATGTCTCAACCTTCTATGCCAAAGCATGGAGGATTTTTCAAAAGTAGACATTGTTTTTGAACCAACTGTTTGAACATTAAAGCATTCATTTTTGTACGAACAGTCTAGTTGCCACATATCAATTTCAAAATAAGCATTGCCAAGCAATTTATTAACATCATTTTAATGGTAAAACTTTGCACAATGATTGTCACCAACAAAGGTAAAGCCTGAGTTAACTAACTTAGATGCATAAATCAAATTCCTTATCATGGAAGGTACCTAAAGTACTGGACTCAATTCTAAAACAAAACCAGATGATAAAACTAATTTGACACTTCTTATGGATTTAACAGCTACTTTGGTGAGGCGAAATGGTAGAATAGTAATTTCACAATCAAGAGAGATATTTTTTATTGTTTTTCCTTTTATGGGATTGGTTGGTATGCCATGAGGGACCCACCCTCTGTTTTGGTTCCCCGGTCTCTCAGCTCTCTTCTCTCTCATAGTTCTCACTTCCCCCTTCTTCTCCCTTCTCTCTCCCGGTTCTCTCTTCACGCTCTCCCCCTGAAACTCTCTGCAACTCTCTCCCTTTCTGCGTTATCCCTCTCCCCTCTGAAAACAACACACACACACACGTACCCACCCATACATACTCACATGGATACACCTAGTCGCCGTCTTAGCGGAGGAAGGAACGGATACCAGTATTCGAACCCGTAAGCTCGGGGAACCACAACGGTGAACCCTCGACCTTGGTAAGCTTTGGGACTCTCTCTAATCTTTCTCTTAGATCTATCAAACTCTAGTTAGGACTCATTTTAGGTGCTTTGATGAAGGTTTGTAGTGAGAAACAACTCGGAGGTTTATTTCCCAATTTTCCGGCAAGGTGCCGTGACTTGCAGACTTTTCTCGACCCTATTCCGGCCACGAATGGCCACGGGGAAGGTATAGATCTCTTCCTTTCTTCATGGGCTTCATTTCATAACCAAAATCCATGAAATTTATATGGATTTGAAGGTATCGAAGAGTAGAACACAATCGTACCTATTAAGAGTCCAAAATCCTACGAAAACGGTCGGAAAAATCATTGGAAAAACCGGCCAACTCTGCAACTTCGTGAATTTGCCTATTCCGACGTCCAAAATACTCCAAAACTACTCCAAAGTGCTAAGGAAGTTGAGTGGATACCCTTCCAAGCCTTAAATCTCTGAAATCTCACTGGGATCACGTCGGAGCAAAAAGGCACCTCGCCAGAGCTTCGGGTTTCTCAAGTCCCATCGTCCGTTCGATAGCTTAAGGGTATCACTAGGATTGTGAGGTCGAGTTGAGTATGCTGGCACCAGTTTCGAGCTTGATCCGTGAGAGTTTGATAGATTGTGAGCTGAGGGTCTCGGGTGTACGGAGGGAGAAGAGTCGAGAAGGAGAGGGAGAAAGGTGTACGTGTGTGTGCGTGTGTGGGTCTGCCTGATTGGGCAGCAGAGATAGAGAGAGAGAGAGAGAGAGAGAGTAATAGATTTTAGTTGGTCCAACAACAATTAACCCAATTATCTGATTGGGCTTAGGACATAGAGAAACTAAAATGATTGGTGGGTAGGGCTAGGTATACTCAATCTTAAAAATATATTTCTACCCATTTGCATATTTAATTGTTGGTAACATTTACATATTTAATTGTTCGTAACCCAATTATCCGATTTGGTCCTAACTCGCGTCAACGCGCTCATGACGTTGAATACGATTTAATTACAATAGCGAGAAAAATAATTTAAAACTACATATGTACATCCACTTCACTAAGCCAACATGGCAATATTGTCACTTTACACACTAGGAGAGAAGATATATATAATAATTTGGGATGGGTCGTCACACAAGTACAACCCCACATATTTTACAAAATTACAATTTTTGCCCTTATGTTATTGTCTTTGACAATTATTATATCATACTACATACCATAAAAGACACAATTGTTTATTCTCATAGGACAGTAGAATCATATTTTTTTTAGAAAGCATAGGAATACTGAACTAATCCAAAGTATTGCCACTTGGTATTACGGTCTAGTGATTTCCCCTTCACTTGTAAATAAGAGGTTTAAGGTTCGATTATCGATAAAAGCGAATTAGAACCACATTATGCTAGCCTATTATTAGGTTTAGCCCACTCTCTCCTTAGTGTAGATAATATCTTTTTTTTTTTTAAGTATTTTTTGTCTTAACCCAATTTCACCATTAGAATTAAAGGAATTACAACCCTTGATTAAGCCCAAAGTCAAAGACAACTTTTTTTCGAAGTAATGTTCTTCCTTGGAGAGGCTATTTTTAAGCAATTTGGCTGAGGTTTGTTCTAAAGGACTTAATTGAATGCAGGTGTGAAAGCGCAAGCTTTTGTATTTGGCTAATTTCCTAGACAAGTTTAATGCGTCTGCAATATATTAGTTCTATATTTTAGGCTTGTCGTAGTTTCTAGGTTTAATTACTGAAAACGTGCACATCAAGGCATATGTTGGAGGATCATGTGCATTCATATAGGAAACGAGAATTACATCATTGCATATCTTGAAGATTATAATATCAGTTTAATTGCCTAGTTTTAAGAAATAAACCCAATTTGATTTTATTCTAGTACATAATTCCAGTTTCCTTTATTCTAGGCTGTTGGTTTCATAGGAAATCAAGCCTATCATTCATCTTTGCTTGGTTATAAGATTTGAGCATAAAAGGTTTAAAGCAAAGTTCTTGAGTGATAGGTTAGAAGAGTGATCTTAGTGAAACACTTCATACCTCTCACATTATTCATCATATTCATTTGGGTGAAGAAGTTGCGTCCATCTATGTGACGAAATTGAGTGCAATCTCTTTAGTCGTGAGTAGAACTTGCTGAGTGTGTCGTGTTCATCCAAAAGAGAGCAAAAGAAAGACTGTGCTACATGATTAAAAGTACAAGAGAAAATTTCAAGTGTAGTAGATGTTTGTCTTGTAAAAGTACTTATTTCTCAATGGTTCTTTAATCGGTTGTGTGCCCATGAATTATACCGTGAGTCTTTTGTTCTTTTTTCTCTATTTCATTTTGTTCTTCACTATTACGTAGTATGATTGAAACCGTACTTGAATCCTCATCTGGAATTTTAGTTGAGATTATTTATCTATTGCAAATATGAAGATCAAACTGGTGATATATTATTATTTACTAAGGGTACGCTAAAAGAGAGTTTTGTATACCTCAGGGATTTGCTTGGTGTCAAAGCTAGAAACAATTTGAAGGAGAGTGTTGATGCCTAAACTGATTTCTAGCTTCCAATTTTTTGTATTAAACAAAAGTAATGGCTTAGTTATTTCTAAATTTCTAACGGCCAAATATGTTGACTCAGTCCAAAATTACAAGTGTAGGGCTGAGATAGGTTTGCTTTGGTGTGAGGTTTAGATTAGCTTAGAACAACTGGGGTCTTGAAGGCCTTTGTTAGCTAGCTAATTTAAATGAGATGTAAGGTGGTATCGTGACCAAAACCCTTAATCATTGAAGTATGTAAGTGACGTTTGAATCATGTATTTGAACATGCCGTCACTTTTCTCTGAAATGCTCTTGGGTTTGTTTCTGTTTTCTTAAATAAAATACAACTAGATTGAATCATGTATTTGAACATGCCGAACACAAAATTTGACAAAAAGTTCAATGTTCGGAAGTTAAGCATCGAACATAAGAGTTGAGGATTAGCCGATAACTATGAACATGGAATCGGGGGTTCGGTTAACCAATGCTAGCTGAACCCGCTCGCGATCTTCTCCTCCAAGTTGACTCCTGGCCTTCATGCTGCTGTTACAAAGTCTTGATACAATTTGGCTTCTTACTTCTTAGTGATGGAATTTTACGTATTGTTATATTAAACTCCAATGAATATATGAACATTCAAGTCTAGTTTGGTTTGATTTCTTCTAAAAATTGATGGGGAAGAACAATTGGATGGCTAACCACCAACTTAAATGAACGCAAATAAAGACATAATTCACAAGTAGTTGCAAAGAGCTATTGGTTTCATGTTCCTTATAATTAAGTTGAATTCTCAAAAGAGTGTGCATAGCTTGATGAAGAACCGAATATTGATGGAGGAAAGTGGGTTCGGCAGCCCCGTATTGAAGGGGAGGTTGTTGGATGAGAAGATATATCGTGCAAGATAGAGAAGGATTTGGAAGGGCTAATTGTGGAAGATTTGGTTAGTACGGAGAGTAGATGTTAAGTTTTTAAAATCTTGTAGAGTAAAAAGAGTTCGTTGGGTGAGGAGATAAAAGTTGGGTGTAATCAGAAGCTTCATTTTTAACAAACATAATATTGTCTTCAGTGAGTTATATTTTGTCAAGTGATTGAATTATTTGTTCCATTTTGTTTTTTTACAGATTTGCTTAACAGTGAAATGTTGAGAGTATAGATCTCATATTAGGTAAGGGAATGACTTTGCATGTGCTTATAAGTAATTGAGTTACTCTTCATATTGTCAATTAGTTTTATGATGGAACCTCAACTTCTCTCTTTTTTGGTTTAACAAACGACATTATCTGTACTGAGGAAAAGATGATGGGCTATGACTCACAATTGACTAATAATACTGTGGTTCAAATTCGCCTTTGATGAGAATTGAACCTAAAATCTCTCACTTACAAGTAAAGAATCACTAAACTATAGTACTAAGTGGCGATGGAACCTCAACTTTTATCAGAGTAGATTATCTCATGTACGAAGCCCAATACTTGACGTGCTCCACGCCATGTGAAACAATATTCTCCCGTGCTAATATGCCAACAATGTTTTCCTTTATAGCCCAACACTTGACGTGCTTCCAAGTCCCAACAATGTTTTCCTTTCCTTTATAGCCCAACACTTGACGTGCTTCCAAGTCCCAACAATGTTTTCCTTTATAGCAGACGTCTAATGGATGTTTTACAAAAGTCACAGCTGGAATTGGGGCAGGTACGAACGATGTTGACCTTTTTCCTTCCATTCCTATCAGAGGTTTTCTACCGAACACCTGTCCTCATATCCCTGTTAGTATTCAGTTTTCTGATGTTGAAATGAAATTCAGTATTAATGTATATGTACGAATCTGTGGTGTGAACTGTGAAATGGTTCCATGCACATGGCTCTCAACATGTTTTTCTTTGCAGTCCATGTTGATTGCGTGATTTAAACGTTTCTTTCTAACAACATTTTTAATGGAAAAGAAAAGAATCACATTCACAACAGGTGGAAACTTGGATAAAAGATTCGGAACCCTAGAGCATCTGCATAACGCTATATAAGTACTGACTATCAACTTTTAGTTAGCATGCATACAACAAAATAAAAGTTCCAAATCCTTTGATCTTCTGCTAGTTCTTAAGCTCGTTACTGAAATGATGTCACTCTCAGTACTTCAGGTGAAACGATTGCAACCGGAACTTATAACTCCGGCAAAGCCAACGCCTCAAGAAACAAAGTTTCTCTCAGATATTGACGACCAAGAATTCTTGAGATTTCATGTTCCAGTCATAATGTGTTACAAAGACAACCCTTCACTTAATAAAAATCGTAATCCCGTTAAGGTGATTAGGGAAGCCTTAAGTAGAGCATTAGTGTATTACTACCCTTTAGCTGGAAGGCTTAGGGAAGGGCCTAACAGAAAGCTCGTGGTCAATTGCAATGGTGAAGGTATCTTGTTCGTCGAGGCTTCTGCTAATGTCACACTTGAGCAACTAGGAGACAAAATTCTACCCCCTTGTCCACTCTTAGAGGAGTTCTTATTTAATTTTCCAGGCTCTGATGGAATTATTGGTTGTCCTTTGCTGTTGGTTCAGGTGAGTCAATTAATTATCAATTACATGTTATTTAGTTTTTCGTATTCATATTTGGTCATAGCCATTAATTCTTTACAAAAAATTTGAAGTAGGTTAAGGCTATGAGTAGTGTTTTTTGCGTTAAGGTTGCATACACACCCCAAAGATTTATTGTAAGAAATTAGTGCAATCAATAACATATGAAATTTTTAATGACAAAAAGGGCATAAACAAGAAAGCGCTAACAATATTGTAAATAAGTTGAAGTTTGGTGGCACCGCAACTGTTTTTAACTTTTTCATAAAATTGGCAACCCTTGTCATAAACGAAAATTTATCATACTGCCACCACACCCAAACTTGAACTTATCTACGATACTACCACACCTCTTTGTTTTTATGATTAAAGAAAGTCATTAGGTGGTTTTGAAAAGAAAAGATTATGAAACGCTTTTCATTATTTTTCGAAACTAATTTTTCTTTGACAATCCTTAAGTTTAACCCTATGCATTGTAAAATTTGTATACACACCGAATTGAGGAAATTATATTTCTACATGGTATCTGCCTAATTAGGTCCTAGGTTTTCTACCAGTCTCACATCACCTTTATTGTGTAGGTTTTCCTTTGCCGTTCTTCTTCTAGGTTTTTGGCATGTCGTCATGTTGTCCTCTTTGTCTTCTGTCTAAATTTTTTTTCTTTCATAAGCGTTTTGTCTAAATTCCTCTATATTTAAAGACTATTTCAAGTAACTACAACATGCACGAGACTCTTTCAAAGAGACTCCATCTTTCTTGAATTTTATTCCTAATTTTTACGAAATTTTTTATTCCTAATTAGATTATCTAATTTAGAAGGGTCTTCTTTTTTTTTTTTTTTTT